GCTCCCTAGATGGGTCATGAAACGTCTGCAAGAAAACCACCAAGCTCTGACAGCCCCAAGGACCCTGCATTTCAACCCCGAACTACAAAGATTCTCTTTTATCGAAACCTTGCCAACTATTGTGAATCCCGTGCGTAGAGAAGAGTCCCTTTTGGGGGGGTTCTGCATTCTCCTTTCCTTTTAAATTCTCCCAGTTGTAGATGATCTTGAACGCAGCTCTTTCAGTTCAACCTTCTTAAGCCTCTCTCAGGCTTCATGTCAGAATGAAGCCATAATTGGGTTCCTGCTTCTGGGTAACTCTATTGTTTTTCATTGTCTCGTCTGTATAAAATCATTATTAAACTGTCAGGGGTTCATAATGTGTTTCTTTTTTTTCTTCTTCTGGATCTCCCTGTCCTTTGTCCTCAAGGCAAACAGCTGTTGGCTTATCAAAAGGCCCAAAATGATTCCACGAAGGCGGGCGATCTGTCTCTTGAGAAATGGGAGAACTGATAAATATTGTTGCCTGTAGCTTTGTGATAGGTGCCGTTGAAATGAGACCTTTGCAGTCATTTGTGTGCCTCCATGCAAACACGTTAATGGCATAATTTCTTGAAGCTGCATCGCATTTCTGCAGTCTCTCCTTTGTATTCCACTCACATTAATTGAAGTAATTTTGCCACTGAAGCGTGTTTCCAACCTCTGCATTTAAATTGAAATTTTAATTCCCTCATTGTTTGGCCAAGACGTCTGAAGATGGCTTGTTACAGGTTTCATTATCACTCAAAACACTCCAGCTGCTTCTAATGTACAATGATTAATTCTGGGAAGACTTATTAATGTAAGGAGGAAACACCCCCCCCCCAAGAAGCCAGAGCAAAGAAGCCAAGGCATCTTGGCAGTGGCTGCTATTTGTAAAGAAAACGAAGAAAAGAGTGCGTTTGTAGATGGCTGTCTCAGGGACCCGCTTAAAATTTGCAGAAAGGAGCTTTCCAAGTTATCAGGAGGGTGTCCTGTTGTCGGTGTTTCAGGATTAAATTCAGGGGTGGGAATTCAAAAATCCCAGCATCCGGTTCGCTGCCAGGTTGCTGGGTGGGTGTGGCCATGGTGGGTGGGGCCTACTGGAACTTTTTTGTTTCCGGTGGGTCTCCGGAGGCCGGGGGAAGGCCATTTTTGCCCTCCCAGGGTCCAGAGGCCTCTCCCAGGCCTCTGGGAGGGTGAAAACAGCCTCCCCTGGCCTCTGGAGCAGTGGTCCCCAACCTTTTTTGTACCACGGACCGGGACAATCCACGGACCGATCCACGGACCGGTACCGGCATCAGCACGCACGACCAAGGCAAGGCGAGCCGAGCGACCAGCCAGCCAGCCGTCCCCAGCTTCTCCCCGCCACCTTCAACTCCTCCTTTGTACCTTCTCGCGGTCGATGGGCTTTTCGGGCTCTTTCTTAATCTCTTCCTGAGTAACGCGAGACTCCACCGCCATCGGGACGACTCTTCGTTCGAAGCCGCCCCCCCCCTTCGACAAAACTAAGGCGCGAGGATTCCTTCAGCACCCAAACGCTGCTTTCCAACCGACGACCGACAAGCTCACCCGGAAGCACTTTCTCAAGCGCCGTCGAAACAAGATGGCAGCGCCCGCCCTACTTTCATTCTTTGCGGCCCGGAACAAAATGATCCACGGACCGGTACCGGTCCGGGGCCCGGTGGTTGGGGACCCCTGCTCTGGAGGCCATCCGGAAGCCGGAAACAGGCCCGTTTCTGGACTTCCATAAGGCCCGTTTATCCCCCTCCCAGAGCCTCCACGGGGACCCTGCACTTACCTTCATCGAAAATGGGCCACATGGAGACTCCTGGGAGGAGAGGGGCGGGGCCAGCCGGTCGGTTGAAATACCGTTTCGGCGAACCAGCTGTAACTTTAACATCTGGTTCGCCTGAACCGGTCCGAACCG